GTTTCAGGGAAATAGTAACTCTGTTGGAGCCGGAGGGACCCTGGCAACCTGGATTATCTTAGAGAAGCTCTTGCCTGTGGCCCTGACTATACCTACACGTCCCAGACCGAAGACTGATACCAGAGAGCCAGAGGCCTAGTCAATGTTCCACAGGCATGCACAATTGGCTCTTGCAGTTGGCGGCGATGGTTTCCCCTACTTCAATCCTGATGCAAAGTGGGGAAGGTCGATTCAGCCAGACCCCTTATGGCCCTTTACCAATAAGATACACGGAGTTTCTGTGGGAGTGAGGTCTCCTAGGTGTTTCTCATGAGCTGGGTCCTGGTTACTGCCTGTTTTGGCAAGGCTAAGGAAGTACCATGAGATATGGCTTCAAGAGAACAGACATCTCTTCTTTGAATGGGCTGGACCCTGGAAGCAAGGTGTATCAACCTGAAGTCCCCGGCTGCATTCCAGTCTGTCTCCGTACAGCCGGGAACCCAGGATCTGATCCCAGGCAGAGTGGATGCTGAGTCATGTCGGCCCACATGTGGGCATTATGCACCTGAACACCTGCCCTCAGCTGTCACACCCTCCAGGACTGTTGGATACGGCCTTCCCTAGCCCACAAGGCCTTATTCTGGGGCCAGCGTTTCTCCGCTTTGCAAAAATGAGGGAAGGTTTCAAATGTGTTTACCCTCAGACCACATAGGCCTTGATATCCTTTTGTCCTGGGGTCTCTCTCACAATCATGTTTCCCAGCTGTCTCACATCAGGCCCATAGTGGCCTTAGAGATCTTGTGAGATCTATATCCTCATCCCTTAAGATCTGGCATCGGGGGAATTAGCAACTATCTTTTGGAGCTGGAGGGACCCCGGAGGCCTCTATTATTTCTTGGAGGCTCACACCTGTGGCCTGGACTATTTCTACATATCCAAGGCCCGGTGACTAATACAAGGGAGTCAGCATGCATAATCAGCTTGGCTCCCACAAGGTGAGCATTCAGGATCCAGGGCATCACGGTCTGTGAAATGATGGCTGCTCCAGCCCAGTGGGACATCTTTTTGGGGCCAGTGGTTTCTCCCACCACACTCCTAATGTGGAGCTGGAATGATCATTGAGCCAGATCCTTATTGGCCCTCTGCCTGGAGACAGACAGGGTTTACTGTTGAAGTGAGGTCTCCCAGATGTTTCTCATGACCTGACTCTCCGGCGATACTCAGGATGTCAAAGGCTGAGGAAATCCTGTTCTGTCTGGCTTTGGGGAAACTGGTATCTTTTTTTTTGGCACAGGCTGGATGTTGGCATCATGGTGTGTCAACTTGAAGGCCCCTGCTGTTCAGGTTGACACACCATGATGTGTTCTGTCCCTATATGGCTAAAAACCCAGGAAAACAATGGAGGGAGCCTAGATGCTGAGTCAAGCTGGCCCACGCATGTCTAGATGAGACCCAAACACCTGCCCTCAGATATCAGGCCCTCCAGGTCTGTTGTACAGAGCCTGTTTTAGCCCACCAGGCTTTATCCTGGGGCCAGCAATTTCTCATGTTTCACCACTGAAGAGGAGGTTTGAATTGTGGTTGCCTTCAGATCCCATAAGGCCCTGCTATTCTTTTACCCAGGGCCTGTATGGCAGTCTTGATTCCCAGCTGTCTCTCATCTCCTGGAGCCCTGGTCAGGCCAGGAACGGCTTTAGACATCTCATGAGATCTGGCTTCTTGATCCTGCAAGATCTGGCATCAGGGGAATTATTAACACTCTTTTGGAGCTAGAGGGACCCTGGTAGCCTGGATTATCCCCTGGAGGCTCCTGCCAGTGGCCAAGACTATCCCTACACATCCCAGACCTTTGATCGATACCAGGGAGTCTGGATCCCTAAGCAGTATGGCATGTGATATGCAGTTGACACCTGCAGCACCTGCATCAGACATCTAGAGCTACTTGACCTGTAAAACAGGGATTGCCCCAGTCCATCAGGCCATCTTTGTGAGGCCAGAGATTCCCCCCACTGCACTCTTGTTGCACAGAGGGAAAGTTTGTTTTTACCATACCCTTTATGGCCTGTGCAGGGAAGATACACAGGGTTTCTGTGGGAGTGAGGTCTCCCAGGTGTTTCTCAAAAGCTGACTCCTCAGCATTGCTTGAGATGGCAGGCTAAGGAAATCATGTGCAATATATTTTAGGGGAACAGGCATTTCTTTTTTGGCACAAGCTAGACTTCAGGAGAATGGTGTGTCACCTAGAAGTCCCTCCTTGTGGTCTGGCCTGTGCCTGTGCAGCTGGGACCTGGGAAAAGAATGGAAGGAGCCTGGAGGAATCAAGCATGCCCATGCATGTGTAGTTTGCACCTGAGAGCCTGCCCTCAGTCAAAAGGCCCTCCAGGCCTATTGGATAGGACCTTCTCTAGCCCACCAGTTCCTATCCTTGGGTCAGCAGTTCCCGATTTTGCACAGTTGAAGAGGTTTGAACTGTGGTTACCCTCAGACAACAGAAGGCCCTGCTATCCTTATTTCCTAGGGCCTGACAATCATATTTCTCAGCTGTCCTCCATCAGGCCACAAATGGCTTCCAAGATCCTGCAAGATCGGCCTCCCTGAACTTGTGACGTCTAGCTTCAGGGAAATTAGTAACTCTCTTTTCCAGTAGTCAGGACCCTAGTAGCCTAGATTATCCCTAGGAATCTCGACCTGTGGCCCAGACTAAGTCTACACATCCCAGTCCTGGTGACTGATACCACAGATTCTAACTGAACAGTCAACGTGGCACACACAGACACAGTTTGCTCCTGCAACATCTACCTTCAGGAACCCAGAGCTTCTTAGCCTGTGAATAGAGGGCCTCCAAGCTCAGTGGACCATCTTCTTGGGGTAAGCAGTTCCCCACACTGCTCTCCTGATGCAGATCTGGAAAGGTTGTTGAGCCAGACTATTATTAGCCCTGTGCTGGGAAATTACACTAGGTTTGTGTAGGAGGGAGGTTTCCCAGATGTTTCCCGTGACCTGACTCCTCAACAATGCCCAGGATGGCAAGGCTAAGGAAATCCCATGCAATCCTTCATCCGGGTAACACATCTCTGTTTGGCTCCAGCTGGAACTCAGAAGACTTGTATGTCATCCAGAAAGTACCCCGCTGTGGTCTGGTCTGTCACTATATGGCTGGAATCTGGAATGCTGATTCAACCCAACCTGCGCATGCTCAATTTGCACCTGAGCACCTGCCCTCACTCATCAGGACCTCCATGTGTGATGGATAGGGCCTGTCCTAGCCCACTAGGCATTATCTTGGGTCCAGCATTCCTGGTTTTGCTCCATTGAAGAGGAGGTTTGAATTATATTTACCCTTAGGCCTCATAAGGCCTTGTTATTCCTTTATCCTATAGCCTGTCTGGCAATCATAATTCCTAGTTGTGTCAAATCCCATGGAGCTCTGGTCAGGCCCGGGATGATTTCTGATATCTCAGGATATCTGTCTCCCTGATTCCGTGAGACCTGGCATCAGGGGAATTAGTAAGTCTCTGTTGAAGCTGAAGGAACCCTGGCAGCCTGGATTATTCCCCGGAAGCTCCCACCTGTGGCTTGGACTATCCATACACGTCCCAGACTTGATTGCCGATGCCAGGGTGCCTGGAGGCCTATGCAGTGTGGCACAGGCATGCACAGTTTTCTCCTGCAGCACCTGCCTTCTTGCGTCAGGGCTCCTGGGCCTGTGAAACAGGAGCTACCCCAGACCAGTGGGCCATGTTCCTTGGGCCAATGTTTCCCCCACGGCATACCAGACGTGGAGCAGGAAAGGTCGTTTGAGCCAGTTTATGGCCTTGTGCTGGAAATACACACAGGGTTGCTGTGGGAGTGAGTTCTCCCATGTGATTCTCATGAGCTGACTCCCAGCACTGCTCTGAATGGCAAGGCTAAGGGAATCAAGTGTCCTTTGGCTTCCAGGGAACAGACGTCTATTCTTTGGGATGAGCTGGACCTTGGCACCCTGGTGTGTGATGAATAAATGAAAAACAATAAGATATGTTGAGGTATGAGGAAGCCACTTGGTTAAAACTAATTCAGTCTGACCTTGTTTTTTAAGAAAGACCTGACTTGGCCTGTTGAGCATGCATTGTACATCTGAGTTAAACATTTACAATATCCCAAAGCTGAGGTTTATGCCTTTAAAGCTAGGAATGTGTGCCTCCCCCCATATCAACATTTACTTAAAGATAAGCATTTCTTCCCAGACATTAAAGATTAATCACCGACCTACTGTGCTCATCTTGTGACCACTGACCTGCTGTGCTAGCAAAACATCTTGTGACTGCAGTTAAAGAGACATTCCTGTCATGTGGTATATGTTCCTTGTTCCAAGATGATGTATAGCCAAGCTGTATACCCTGTTTCTTCAGAGTGCTTCCTTCCTTGGTAAAGGTTCTCTCTCAGGCTATAGTCCTCAAAACTGGCTTATACAATAAACTCACCCGATTTTGATTCACAGATTGATTATGAATTATTTGCATTGACATGTGTTATTCAGAAGACCTTCACTGTGGTTTTGTCAGTCCTATAGGACTTAAACTTGGGCGAAAAATGAAGGGAGCCTGGATTCTGAGTCAAGCCAGCCCAGCATGTGTAGATCACACCTGCCCTCAGTCATCGGCCCTCCAGGCCTGTTGAATAGGGCCTGCCCTAGCCCACCAGGCATTATCCTAGGGACAGCTATTTCCTGCTTTTTGCCATTGAAGAGGAGGTTTGAATTGTGGTTACCCTCAGAACCCATAAGGCCCTGCAGTTCTTTTATCCTGGGCCTGTCTGGCAATCATGATTCCCTGCTGCCTCCCATCCACGGAGCCCTGGCCAGGCCGGTAATGGCTTCTGACATTTGTTAGATCTCCCTCCCTGATCCCATGAGATTTGGCTTCAGGGAAATTAGTCACTCTCTGTTGCTTCCAAGATGACGCCAGATGTGCCTCCCTGATCTGATCAGACCTGGCAGGCTTTTTAGTAAGTCTCTGTTGAAGCTGAAGGGACCCTGGCAGCCTGGAGTATCCCCTGAAAGCTCCTGCATGTGGCACAGACTATCCCTCCATGTCCCAGACTAGTGACTAATTCCAGGAAGCCTGAATGCCTAGTCATTGGCACATGCATGCATAGTTGGCTCCCACAGCACCTGCCTTCAGGCACCCAGGGCTCTTTGGCTTGTGAAACAGGGGTTGCCACAGCCCAGAAGGCCATCTTCCTGTGGCCAGTGGTTCTTCACACTGCACTCCTGATCTAAATATGGGCAGGTTGTTTAGCTAGGCCTTCACTGGCCCTGTGCCAGGAAGACACACAGGGTCTCTGTGGGAGTAAGGTCCCCCAGGTGATTCTCATGAGCTCACTCCCCAGTACTGCTGGGGATGTCGAGGCTAAGGAAATGAAGTGACATTTGACTTCTGAGGAACAGGCATCTCTTTTTTGGGATGAGTTGGACCTTAGCAGCATGGTGTGTCACCCATAAGAACCTGCTCTGGTCTGGTCTGTCCATATAGGGCAGAGATCCATATAGGGCAGAGGCCAGAAAAGAATGCAGGGAACCTGGATGCTGAGTTAAACTGACCCTGGCATGTATGGATTGCACCCAAGCACCTGCCCTCAGTCATTAGCCCTCCAAGCCTGTTAGATAGGGCCAAGCCCTGGCCCACCAGGCCTTATCTTGGGGCCAGTAGTTCCCTGCTTTTTGCCATAGAAGAGGAGGTTTGAATTGTGGTTACCCTCAGACACCATAAGGCCCTGCACTTCTTTTACCCTGTTCCTGTCTGGCAGTCATGATTTCTAGCCGTCTTCTATCCCTTGGAGCCATGGAGAGGACCAGATTGGTTTCCCAGATACTGCAAGATAGCCTCCTGATCCTGTGAGACTTGACAGCAAGGAAATTAGTATCTCTCTGTTGCTTCCGAGATCCTGTGAGGTCTCCCCGAGCCCACAAGATCTGGTATCAGGGCAATTATTAACTCTGTGTTAGAGTTAAAGGGATTCTGGCAGCATGGATTATTTCACAGAAGCTCTTGCCTGTGGCTGGGACTATGACTACAGGTCCCAGACCCAGTGACTGATACCAGGGAGCCTGAACGCCAAGTTAGTGTGGCACATACATGGGCAGCTGGATCTCACAGCACCTGCCTTCAGGCATCCAGGGCTTCTTTACCCTTGAAATGGGAGCTGCTCTAGCCCAGCGGGTCAATTTCCTGCGACACCAGTTCTCCCCACTGCAATTCTGATGCTGAGTGGGGAAGAACATTAGAGCCAGACCCTTTATGGCCCTGTGCAGGGAAGATACACAGGGTTTCTATGGGAGTGACTCAATGGCACTGCCCAGGATGGCAAGGTTGAGGAAATCACATGACATAGGTCTTCAGGAGAACAGGAGACTCTTTTTTGGTATGGGCTGGATGCCGGCAGCTGGGTGCATCACCCAGAAGTCCCCCACTGTGGTCCAGCCTGTCTTTATCTAGCAGGGACGCGGGGACTGATCACAGTCAGGCAGAATGGTGAGTCAAGCTGGCCTGCCCATGAAGATTTTGCACCCGAGAAGCTGCCCTCAGGCATCAGGCCCTCCAGGCCTGTTGGATAGCACCTGACTAACCCGTCAGGCCTTACCATGTTGCCAGAGGTTGTCCACTTTGTGCCATTGAAATGGAGGTGTGAGTTTTCTTTACCCTCAGATCCCATAAGTTCCTGCTATCCTTTTTCCCTGGAGCATTTCTGGCAATCATGATTCCCAGCTGACTCCATTAGTCCCAGAATGGCTTTTTGGATCCTGTGAGATCTGCCTCCCTGATTCCATGAGATCTGACATCAGGAGAATTAAGCCAGATCCTTTATAGCCTATGCCGAGAAGATACACCAGTTTTCTGAGGGAGTGAGGTATCCTAGGTGTTTCCAATAATCTGACTCCCCAGCAATGCCTGGGATGGCAAGGCTAAGGAGATCCCATGCCATCTGGCTTCAGGAGTAAAACGTCTCTTTTTGGGTATGGGCTGAACCTTGTAGCATGTTGTGTCACCCAGAAGTACCCCTCTGGGTCTGGTCTGTCCCCGTACAGCCAGAAACCAGGAAAGGAATTGAGGGAGCCTGAATGCTGATTGAACCTGGCCTGTGCATGCACAGTAGGAACAGGAACACATGTCCTCAGGCATCAGGCCCCCCCCCAAGCCTGTTGGGAGTGCCTCCTCTAGCCCACCAGGCATTAACCTGGGGCCAGTGGTTCCCCGCTTTTGTGCCAATTCAAGAGGAGGTTTGAATTTTGGTTATGCTCTGCCATCCATTTACCCTGAATCCTGTCTGACAACATGATACTCAGCTGTCTTCCATCCTATGGAGCCCTAGAAAGGCCTGGAATGGTTTCTGAGATCTTGTGTGTTCTGCCTCCCTGATCCTGTGAGATTTGGCATAGGGGGATTAATATATCCCTGTTGCAGCTAGAGGGACACAGGAACCCTGGAATATCTCATGAAAGCTCTTGTCTGTGGCCAGGACTATCCCTACGCATTCCAGACCTGGTGACAAGACAGGGAGCATGAATGCCAAGTTAGTGTGGCATATACATGCACATTTGGCTCCTGCAGCACCTGCCTTCAGGAATCTAGGGCTCCTTGACCTGTGAAATGGGGTGCAATCCAGCCCAGCAGGCCATCTTCTTGGGACAGCGGTTTCCTCCAATGCGGTTTTTATGCAGAGCGAGGAAAGTCTTTTGAGCCAGACTCTTTATGGCCCTGTGCAGGGAAGATACACAGGGTTTCTGTGGGAGTGGGGTCTTCTGGGTGTTTCTCATGACCTTACTCCCTGGCAATGCCCGAGATAGCAAGGCTAAGGAAATCCTGTGCCAACTGGCTCCCGGGGAATCTCTTTTTTGGCATGGGGTGAACCTGGGCAGCACTGTGTGTCACCCAGAACTCCCCCGCTATGGTCTGAATTTTTGCTATATGTATGGAACCTGGAAAAAGAATTGAGAGTCTGATGCTGAGTCAACCTGAGCTGTCCGTGCACAGTTCACAACAAAACCCCTGCCCACAGCCATCAGCTGCCCCTGGCCTGTTGGATGGGGCCTGCCCTACCTACCAGGCATTATCCTGTGGCCAGGGCTTTTCTGCTTTGCGTCATTGAACAAGAGGTTTGATCGTGGTTATCCTCCAAATGCATAAGGCCCTGCTATCCTTTTACCCTGGGGCCAATCTGGCAATCATGATTTCCAGCTGTCTACATCCCAAGGAGCCCTGGAGAGGCCTGGAATTGTCTTGAGGCACCATGAGACAGCTTCCCTGATCCTGCAAGACTTGACATCAAGGGAATTAGTATCTCTCTGTTGCTTTTGAGATCTCATGAGATCTGTCTCCCTAAGCCCACAAGATCTGGCATCAGGGTAATTAGTAACTTTCTGTTAGAGCTGGAGAAACCCTGGCAGCCTAGACTATGCCACAGAAGCTCTTGCCTGTGGCCTGAACTATTGCTACAGATCCCAGACCCAGCGACTGACACCAGGGAGCCTGGGTGCCTAGCTAGTGTGGCACGTGCCAGGGCAGTTGGCTCCTACAGCACCACCTTCAGGAATCCAGGGCTCCTTCGCACTTGAAATGGGGCTGCTCCAGTCCAGCAGGCCATCTTCCTGGGACAGCCCTTTCTCACTCTGCACTCCTGATGCAGACCTGGAAAGGTTGTTGAGCTGGACCCTTACTGGCCCTGTGCCAGGATGATAGACAGGGTTTTTCTGAGAATGAGGTTTCCCAGGTGTTTCTCATGATCTGACTCCTTGGCACTGCCCAGGATGACAAGGCTGAGGAAATCCTGTGCCATCTGGCTTCCAGGAAACAGGTGTCTCTTTTTTGGTAGAGGCTAGACTTTGGCAGCACGTTGTGTCACCCAGTAGACCCCCTCTGTGGTCTGGTCTTTCCCTATAATTTGAGACCCAGGAAATAATAGAGGCAGTCTGGATGCTGAGTCATTGGCCTACGCATGCATGGTTTGCACCCAAGCACCTGCCATCAGTCATCAGGTCCTCCAGGCCTGTTGGATAGAGGCTGCCCTAGCCCACCAGGCCTTATCCTCTGGCCAGTGATTTCTTGCTTGGGGCAGTTGAAGAGGAGGTTTGAACTGTGGTTACCCTCAGAATCCATGAGGCCTTGTTCTCCTTGTTCCCTGGGGCCACTCTGGCAATTGTGTTTCCCACCTGTCTTCCAGCAGGCCCTGCATGGCTTTCATGATCCTGCAAGTTCGGCCTCTCTAATCCCATAAAATCTGCATCAGGGGAAATAGTAACTCTTTTTGGTACTGGAAGCACGCTGGCAGCCTGGATTATCCCTCAGAAGATCCCATCTGTGGCCTGAACTATCCTTACACATACCAGACCTGGTAATCGATACCAGGGAGTCTAGATGCCTATTCAGTATGGCTTGCACATGCGCAGTTGCTTCCAGCAATATCTGAGGGCTTCTTGACCTGTGAAATGAGAGCCGCCCCAACCTAGCAGGCCATCTTCCTGAAGCCAGTGGTTTCCTGAACTGAACTCTTGATGCTGAGCTGGAAATGTTATTTAGCCAGACCCTTACTTGTCCTGTGCCTGGAAGATACACAGGGTTTCTTTGGGAGTGATGTTTCCCAGGTTTTTCACATGAGCTGACTCCCTGGCACTGTCTGGGCTGTGTGGGAGATCAAGATTTGGCCATCCTAAAATATATCTCTTTACCTTGATTATTTTCTCTGAGGGACATTTGACCTCCCCCACTAACTGCCTAAAGAGTTTGACATGGTGGCTCCTTCCTGGAACAGATCTATCATGATGGCTGTAAAGATAATGTAGGATAGAGGTTACAATAGAAAAGGCACCAACAAGCCCATCTTATCGGAAGTTCTGTCTCTCTGGCCACATTCTCTAGATGGCTCTGTGAGGAGTTGCCAGACAATCATTTACATTTATAAGGGAAATCTCCATTTGTAAAGGTATCTCCTTCTCTGTTTTGGGAAGAGGGGGGGATGGCCTCATTTCTAGAGGCTTATCAATGTAGAAGGTGAGGCCTTAAATCTGCATAATAACCTTACTCTTGTTTACTGTGCTTTAGTGGTGATCACCTGTAACTGACTCCCCCCACCCCCAACATCCTCCTTTGTCCTTGGCTGAACATGGTATTTAAGATGAGAATTTCTGCTATTGTGTTGAGAAAAGCAGTGTCCCTGCTTTCTCCCATGTATACATGTTATTAAACTTGGTATTATTTTCTCCTGCTAACCTGTCTTGTTAATTATTTGGCCAGCCATAAGAACCTTAAGGAAAAGGGCAGAGGGAGATTCTCCCTCTTCCCCCGACAGCTGGCAAGGCTAAGAAATTGCTGTGAAATCTGGCTTTAGAGAAAATGTGTCTCCTTTTTAGTGGAGTGAACCTCGGCAGCATGGTGTGTCTTCCAGAATTTCCTGCTTGTGGCCTGGTATGTCCCTACCTGCCCCAGTAGTGGGTAAGCATCCCAAGGATCCTCAGTGTGCAGTCACACTGTTCCATGCAATCGCAGTTTCCCCTAGAGCACCTGCCCTCTGTCCTCATGCCCTCAAGGTCTGTTAGATAAGGCCTGCCCTCGCCCACCAGGCACTCTCCTGGGGCTAGTGGTCTGCCACACTGCTTTGTTGATAAGGGGGTTTGAATTGTAGTTGCCCTCAGACCTCATAATGCCCTCTTCTTTTCCCTGAGGCCTGACTGGCAATCCCGATTCCTGGCTGTCTCCTATCCCTTGTAGCCCTGGTCTGGACTGCAACGGCTCCAAGATCCCATGAGATCTGGTTCTGATCTCATGAGATCTGAGTTCAGGTATATTCGTAATTTTGTTTTGGAGCTGGATGAACCTTGGAAGACCATAGTGTCCCCCTGAAGCCCCTGCCTGTTGCCCAGACCATCCCTACATAGCCAAAATCTGGGGACTAGTACCAGGGAGCATGGATGCCTAGTTAGTGCAGCTTGTGTATTTGCAATTGGCTACCACAGCACCTGCATTCAGGCATCCATACCTTCTAGGCCTGTAAAAAGGGGACTGCCTCAGCCTGGCAGGCCAACTTCCTGGTGCCAGTGGTTTACCACACTGCACTCCTGTTGGGGAGTGGGGAAGGTCATTTGAACCAGACCCTTTATGGCCCTGTGCAGCAAAGATACACAGGCCTCTGTGTCAGTGATGTCTCCCAGGTGTTTCTAATGAGCTGAGTCCTCAGCACTGTCCTGGAACACAAGGCTAATGAATTTCCATGAGATCAGGCTTTAGGGGAATAGACATCTCTTTATTGAAAATTGCTAGACCATGGCAGCCTATAGTGTCCCCCAGAAGCTCTAGGCTGTGATTCAGTCTGTCCTACATGGCTGGGACCCAGGCATAAATCCCAAGAAGCCTGAATGCTCAGTCACATTGGCTCATGCATGCACGGTTTAAACCCAAGCACTTGCACTCAGTCATCAGGCCCTCCAGGCCTGTTGTATAGGGCCTGCTCTAGCCCATAGAGCTCTAGCTCTATCTTGTGATCTGCAGTTCCTGCATGGCATCACTGATGAGGAGGTTTGAATTGTGGTTATCCTCAGACCTCGCAAGGCCCTACTGTCCTTTTCTCTGGACCCTGACTGGCAAGGGTTAATTATAGGTCAAGTTCAAAGCTAAGATCAGTTCAAAGACATAATAAGCTAAATTTCAAAGTCTGAGTCCATATTAAGAGTAAGGTTAAATTCAAAACCAAGGACCAAATAAAATTCAAGTTCATGTTTACAATCAAGACTATACATGGTCTGCATGAGAAGTGGCTCTGAATCATCATTTACATCAAGGTCAAAGAGAAATTTAATGTGCTGTTCAACTTAATGTTTGTACTTTAGGCTACATATGGTAGATAATAATTTGGGACAGGAAGAGGTTCTTAACAGGACAAAAATACCAAGGTCAATGCCAAAATCAAGTTCAAGATCAAAGTCAAGTTTAAATCCTACTTGACAGTTAATGATATACATGTTCTGGACATTGTTCTAGGAAAGAACGAGTGTCTGAATCATAGCAATGATTCAGATGAAGAACAGAGTCCAGCTAAAGGTAAAGGATTCAAGTTCAAAAACTAAACAAGACATGGTGTGGACATAAAGCAGTAATAGGTGTTTGAGTCAAAATCAAGTCAAGGTCAAGGTAAATTTCAAAGTCAGCATCAAAGGGAATATCAAGTCCAATGTCAAGATAAAATTCAAAATAAAAATAAAAATCAAGGTCAAGTTCAAGAAGAGCACACAGTGTGTGTTCAAGGAGCAATTGTAGAATAGCAAATAATTGATGTGAAAATAGCGGCATCTAAATTGTGGAGAATGAGCGTGCGAGGGTTGAATAGACAAAGTTTGGTGTGCAAGAATTTGAAGTTGCATGATGGGGTACACCTGTGTAGAGTGGTGGTTGGATTATACAGTGAGTATATACAATGAGTGGAAGTTAAATTGCCCACAGTGAGCTGGCAAAGATTTATTGTTGAATTGCATAGAATAAATGTGCAAAGAATGGAAATTGGAAGGTCCAGAATTTGTTTAAAAGACTGCTTGTTGACCCATATGGAGTGAGTATGGAGGAAATAATTGTTAAATGAGCAATAGTGGTGTGTAAGGGGTGTAAGTGGATGGAGAAAAATCAATGTGTCAAGAGAGGCTTTTGAATCACAAACAGTGAGCATTTGAGGAGAGAAAATTGGATTGCGCAAAACGAGTATGCAAAGAGTGGTTGTTGAATTGCACACTGTGAATGTCCAAAGAGTGGTTGCTGAATCACAGATAATGAGTGCAAGGAGTAGTTGTTGAAACACCAGATGTGTACATAGAGTATATTGAATGGTATACAGTGTGTGTGTGTCAAGAGTGATTGTTGAATGCAAAATAGTGAGTATGTAAGAAATGGAGGTTGATTGGACCAGCTGAGAATACATAACACAGTTGTTGAATTTTACACAGGGAGTGTGTAAGGAATGATTGTTGAATGGGACACCATGGAGGTAAAGAGTGGAATTTGGATGGCACAGAATGAGTGAATGTGTATGGAGTTGTTCTTGAATAGCACACAGCATGATTGCAGGGAGTGGTGTTTGAATAGAAAATGGTGTACAAGAAGCAGATGTTGTATGGAGCAGAATAAATGTGCAAAGGGTGGTTGTTGAATTATTTAGTGTGAATGTGCAAGGATGGCTGTTAAATCACAGTGAGTGATAAGTTGTGATTGTTAAATAAGACACAGGCTATGTGTGAGAGATGGTTGAACAACTCAGAGTGAGTGGTCAAGAATCGTAAGTTGGATGGAGCAGAATGAGAGTGTGTACAGTATATGTTGCAGATATTGAGTGTGCCAAGAGTGAGTGTTGAATTCCCAAGTGCTGGTAATAAAGAGTGGAAGTTGGGTTCTGCAAAATGAGTGTACCTGAGAGGCTGGTCACCTGAACAACCTTAGAAGTGGATAGTCCACAGCCTTGGATAGTTTGTAAATAGTGGTTGTTAAATGCACACAGTGAGTGTGCAAAGAGCGGCTGTATGCAATGATAGGTTGTTGAATAACACACAGTTTGTGTGCTATGGGTGATTTTGATGTCTTAGAGTGTGTTGCAAGAAGTGGAATTTGATTTGTGTATATGACTGTGCAGAGACTGGTTGTGGCATCACTCAAAGTGAGCAGAGTGTGTTTACAATAAATAGAATTTGGATAGTGCAAAATGAGTGTTCCAAGAGTGTTTTTAAAATTACTTAGAGTGAATATGCACACAGAGGTTGTTGAGTGGTACACAGTAAGTTCATAAAGAGTGATTGTTGAATGGCATATTGTTGAATGCAAGGAGTAGAAATTGGACTGGGCAGAATGAGTGTACAAGAAGTGAGTTTTTAATTACACACAGTAAAAAGCTGT